TACCGGTTCGCCTCTTAGTTCAGGCAAGCAGGAAGCCCTGCAACAGTTATTGGTTTTATTTCAGAGCCATCATTGTAACATTAGTTTACAGACGTAAACGCGTCGACCTCGTCATTCAATACATCCGTCTTAACTTGTATCTCTCTCTTTGGCCCACCGGGACCCTGTCCTCCCTTCATTCCAGGGTCACCTCTCCTTCCCTGTTTATATTTATTTAACAATAATAAATCTGTTATGGCAAATTCTTAAAACATGTACGCAATATCTTTCTACGTTCATTTAAAATACCGGTTCGCCTCTTAGTCCAGACAAGCAAAGAAGCCTCGCAACAGTTAAACATTTTTATTTCAGAGCCATCATTGTTAAATTAGTTTTCAGACATAAACGCGTTGATCTCATCATTCAATACATCCGTACACAAGCAACCCTCATATCCACAGAGAACAGTTAAACTGCATTCAGTCCAATTGAATGCAAACAGCCACTATCTACCCACTCTAAACAACGCATCGCAGTACAATTCACCTTCCTGTTCCCCTCTTTCCGCGACATTATTCGTTCATCGTTGCCCGATCGCAGATCAGAGCCGGACACGCCTCTGATACTCGACCCAGCCCCGGGGCTCAGCAGCAAGGGAATCTACACATACCATATTCCGTTCGCATCCCAAGGCGCCGGTTGCCTGCAACATGTCAATCAGGGGACTTACGGGTGCTCACAATATCCAGAACTCTACTGCCGCGTTCGCTTTTCCCTGAATCACAACCAATGAGGCGCGGTGCCCCGTCCCATCCAACCACAACACACACTCTCACAGCTGCTTTGACCCGAACCTTACCTCAAAACCAACGTAGCCCTGCTTTTTCCGCCATATGCCCTAAACACCCCCCCATCCATCACCCCAAATCCGCAAACGTTCAACCACAGCTCTTGTTCCAAGGGCGTCGACAAGAGAAACAGACCTGTCCTCTAGCATGCCAAGAGGCCGGTTCGTAACAATTCCAACAACTTCAGAAGCAACATCTCAAGTTGCCATTAGCTCCTCACTTGCTCCTTCTGCAGCAGAGCACATGCAAGACCTGCATGTCCCCATAATCCAACTAAACACAGTCCGCATAAGTATCCGAATACACCAATAAAAATCAACGCTCGTGCCACCGCCTTGAAGAACCACCCAGATCGACAGGTTGTTAACCACCTACAACGATTTACACAGTCTTTACCTAGGTTTACAGGTCACGCCAGATTCCTCATGTCAGTCACCTCCGAGCCCGACATAGTTGATAAATTCCCGGACAGAGAAAATAAAGACGCATTCACAATGGGTCCATTCCCCAGTCCACCGTTCCCTACATTCAGAATCAATCCAACCCACGTTGCTTCACAAACATGACACACCAGACGACGCAAATCATGGCACCAGTTCCTCCCACCACGTAATGGCATTTTATTCTTTTACGACTACCACATCACTAAGCTGGAACACGTCCAGCTATTCACATATGCAGCACCTCCCACCAAAGTTGCTAATTGTGGCAGGTGGTTTTCAGCCTAGTGGCTGCTTGACTTCTCATCCCTGCCTTCTTACTCTGCTATCCGCGAAACGTACCCAGTAATCTTAGCAGTCATTCTTTGGGGTCACTAATGGTTTCAGCTTCAGCAGAGCATCAACTCATCACCCGAGATTCTTGCATCCCAGGTCTCAGAACGCAATCGCCGTCACGCTCATGCTTCTCGTTACGTTAATTCAGACAATCGGCACTAGCCTCCGACACCGTTCCAACTCCAGTCCCACCATCTTCAGCCTCCATCCTCTACTGACTCCCCTCAGATGGATAATTTGGTCGCCATTTTCTTTCACTCGATAGCTTCATCCCGTTCGCTTCCATCGATAAAATCATCATACCCACGCAATCAGTTTCGACACATCTGCAAATCCTCTCCAAACCAGAATTTCCCCAGAGCCATACTCGGGGCGTTCCCTTGCATCCGGGCCACATCCACTGCTCCCAGGCAGGGAATCCCAGATATCTGCAATAAACCCCTTGGCAGATGGTCTTCTCGATCCGCCAACCGACCTTCATTCCTCCAGTCAGGATTTAGAGTTCAACATAGCACAGAGACAGCTCTGGTTAAAGTTAATAATGACCTTCTGACTGCTTCTGACAATGGACTTGTCTCTGTACTTGTATTATTAGATCTTAGTGCTGCATTTGACACCATTGACCATAATATTCTTTTACAGAGACTTGGGCGTCAAATTGGCATTAAAGGAACCGCACTAAGCTGGTTTAAGTCATATTTATCAGATCGCTCGCAGTTTGTACATGTTAACGATGAATCTTCAATAAATACTACAGTTAGTCATGGAGTTCCACAAGGTTCTGTACTTGGACCAATACTATTTACTTTATATATGCTCCCTTTAGGCAACATTATTAGGAATCACTCCATTAACTTTCACTGTTATGCAGATGATACGTAGTTATATCTATCAGTCAAGCCCAATGAAATTAATCAATTATCTAAATTACAGACATGTCTTAAGGACATAAAATCCTGGATGACCTGCAATTTTCTGATGTTAAACTCTGAAAAAAACGAAATTCTTGTTCTTGGCCCCAAAAACCTTAAAGACTCACTGTCTAAAGATATAGTTACTCTAGATGGCATTAACTTGGCCTCTAGCACCACTGTCAGGAATCTTGGAGTTATCTTTGATCAGGATTTGTCATTTAACTCCCACATAAAGCAAACCTCTAGGACTGCCTTCTTTCATTTACGTAATATTAGAAAAATTAGACACATACTATCACAGACAGATGCAGAAAAACTAATCCATGCATTTGTTACTTCAAGGCTGGATTACTGCAACTCTTTAATATCAGGTTGCCCCAATAAGTCCATTAAAACGCTCCAATTAATTCAGAACGCTGCAGCACAAGTACTGACAGGAACTAGAAAAAGAGATCACATCTCTCCTGTACTAGCTTCTCTGCATTGGCTCCCTGTAAAATGTAGAATAGAATTTAAAATCCTCCTCCTCACCTATAAAGCTCTTCATGGTCAGGCCCCTTCATATCTTAAAGAGCTCATAGTACCCTATTACCCCTCTAGAACACTACGTTCTCTGAATGCTGGGCTACTTGTGGTTCCTATAGTCTCTAAAAGTAGAACAGGAGCCAGAGCCTTCAGTTACCAAGCTCCTCTCCTGTGGAACCAGCTTCCAGTTGTGGTTCGGGAGGCAGACACCCTCACCACATTCAAGAGTAGGCTTAAGACATTCCTCTTTCATAAAGCTTATAGTTAGGGCTGGATCAGGTGAGTCCTGAACCATCCCTTAGTTATGCTGCTATAGGCCTAGAATATCGGGGGATTTCCCATGGTGCACTGAGCTCCTCCCTTCCTCTCTCTTTCTGCACTCATTCATGTTCCATTAATGCATGTTACTAACTTCACTTCTTCCCCGGAGTTCTTGTGCTTTCTCGTCTCGCAGGTTCTTGTCGATCCTGGTTGAGCCTCCTGCCATGGTCCTGCTAGATTGCCATTGCCAATACTGTTGTTGCTGTGCACCTGTCTGTCTGTCTGTCTGTCTCTCGTCTCTCTCTCTCTCTCTCTCTCTCTCTCTCTCTCACCCCAACTGGTCGAGACAGACGACCACCCACCTAGAGCCGAAGGATCTGTCCTAGGTTTCTGCTTTAACAGGCAGTTTTTCCTTGCCCTTGTCGCCAAGTGCTTGCTCATGGTGGTACTGTTGGGTCTCTGTAATTAATGTTTTAAAGAGTTCGGTCTAGACCTGCTCTATTTGAAAAGTGTCCTGAGATAACTTCTGTTATGAATTGGCGCTATACAAATAAAATTGAATTGAATCCCTCGAACCTACCTTCATCTCTCGAACCTACCTTCACCCCTCATCCCTCAGTATACCACATCGGTTCACATTTGTTCATTATGTGCAATGAACTTTTCTTATTTCATACATTTGATGGCGTGGTCGTTGTTAGTGAACTCTACAATAACCACAAATCTGTACACTGTCTTGCTAACGTTAGCTTGGTACCGAAGTGAGGCAGCCGGCATCGTCTGACTGCTACTATTGAGAACACTTAGCTTCAGCAGGCCGCTCACCAGAGGCTTGTAAAAATGCCAACACCGATATGATAGCAAGATCTATAGGCGAGGATGTGCCGATATGCGGCCTATTGGTGTGGTAAGAGAGTATGTCTTATCCTTTAGTGTCTGTTGTGTGTCATTCAAAATTACTTTAAAGGTGATTTTTGGGATAAGTGACAGCCCTAATATCAGCAATGCTCCTTTGTAATACTTCTTTATACACAGAAGCACAACTGACTGACTGACATGCACATGTAAACTGACAGCCTAACTATGGTCGCATCTGTGATAGACACAGCTACAGCTGGTAGACACCTGGTGCAATGCCAAAACTTTCTCTAGAATGAATAGTATACATTAATAGACTATTCTTTTCTTTTTTTAAAATAAACCTTTTTTATTGAATTTTTATTGAAAGTGCTTGTCAGTGACTGTGTGATGTTATAGTGCTGCAGCCTTTTATCAATAGTGTCAGCTGAAGAGTGACAGAGAGAGGGGATGACATGCAGCAAAGGGAAACAGGTCGGATTAAAACCCTGGCTGTTGCAACAAGGTCTCAGAGTTGGTACAAGTAGCCCCAGTTCTATCAGGTGTGATATCCGGGCGCCCCCATATGTCACGTATTACAGTGAACATAATAACCTCACTCTTCAGCTTAGTAAATACATTTAAAACAAAAGTTAGAACAACAAGTAAGAAAGAAAAAATTTGATCTTATTCAGGGATAACTGAGAAAGTAATTAAATGATGTCAATGGGCTTCATATGCCTGCATTAACAACAGTCTCAAATCCAGCCCGGCCTGTTTCAGAAGATATGGTAAAAAACTAAAATCTTAACATATAAGAAGAATGGGAGAAACTTTGGGAGAAAATGATCTCAATGGGATTTATGTTACTTATAACTTTTAATTAACACAATTACTCTAACATCACTTTTAATACACAAGATTGCATTGCTTTGACAGAACAACCTCTTCAGATGTTTAGAGATTTCTTTCATTTTTAGTCCATATATAATTGGATTGAAGAGAGGATGATACAAAAGTGCTTGTAAAGTCATTATTAAACGTACTATTTTTGGAAAATCAGATCCCACTCGACCTATAATGATATCATATGAACACAAACAGGAAAAGCTGATTAAAACCAACAGGTGGGGTAAACAGGTCTGTGCAGCTTTTTTTCTGACATTTCCACAACTTCGATAACATATTACAAGTATCCTGGTGTATGTGAAAAGTATGAAGAGCAAAGGCAAAAGCCCAAGACTTAGCACACCAAAAATACCAAAATTATATATTACTTTCGAAGTCACGCAGTGAAGACTGTAAATTGAATTGTTACATAAAATTTCTTTTAAAGTGAACTTACAGAGTTTCATATGAGCACTCAGTACTACTTGAACTGCAACCTGACAAGCAGGCATAAGCCAAGCAAAAGCCAGGAAAATTCTCACTGTAGTTGTTGTCATGATAGTTGGATATTGCAGAGGTTTACATATAGACACATACCTGTCATAGGCCATGGCTGCCAACAGAAAGAACTCTGAACCCCTTAAGGAGTAACTTAGGAAAAATTGAAAGATACAGGCTGAATATGATATCATCTGTTTTTCGGACAAAAAGTCAATTAACAACTTTGGGTACATAGCAGTGCTGAAAACAACAGAATTCAGAAGCAAAGCTGCAATGAAAATGTACATAGGCTCATGGAGGTTGTTGTGCCTCCAGATAAGGCCCACAATGGTGAAACTACAGCAGATTATTAGAATATATACTGTAAGCATAACCAAAAAATAAAGATATCTGTATTTGCCCACTTCTACATGCCCATCAAGAGTTATATATGTTACATTAAGTTTATCATCCATTAATGTTGTATAAAATAAAGATTCAGTTATAAACCAAGTAGATTACATAACCAGCATACATCAATGGAAACTTAAAAATAACTCTCACTTTCATAAAAATACTAACATTCAGTCTGTACTGGAACGTCTTATTCATTCAAAGGTACCTGGCTTTGAAATGCACCTCATCTCTAAAAAAAATGAACTATAAGAGTCTGTGGAAAGTTTTTATTAGATTGCTTCACCCTCCAAGGATCTAATTAAACTTCCCACCAAATATATTCTAATATGTAAAGAACTTCCAGAACTCACAGCATTGTTTGACTTCTTTTGTTGTATGTTTACAGTACTGTTCAACTGTAGGTACCACTGGGACTTTGTTCATTATGTTTGCTTGAACTGAACTTTTACTGTGAAATGTATCTCGTTAAGTTTACCTACTAGTTGCACCTCTCTTCCAATCACTTGCTGTGAGTGCAGTTAATCTTGGGGAAAGACCATCATGGCATCGCCATGAATCGCCAAAGAATCCCTGCCTTCCCTGTTAGAACTTATTAAAGCATTTTACCTTTTGGGTTACACTTTAAACTGTGGCAAACATTAATCTATGCCTCTTCCTGGAAACTTTAGTTCAAATTTTCTCAAAAACTAGCCCTTTTGGCGTACCCTAGTAACTCAGCTTGTAGAGGTGGTGCCCCATGTACCAAGGCTTGGTCTTTGCTGCAACGGTCATGGGTTCAAGTTTGACCTTTGACCGCTCATCATCCACTTTCTCTCACCCGCTTTCCTGTCTGTCCTGTGAATAAAGGCAATAATCTGTCCCCCCAAATAAACTGGTCCTTTCATATTCTACAGATAAATCCTTTTCTAAGTGAATTTTTAAGTACATAACTGTGATATATTACTAGACCCATATACTGCCTATCAACCTTATGCCACAAACAAATTCATTCATTCATTCAACATGTATGGTTCGTCTCAGATCCCCGAAATGTTTGTTGTTAATAATCCTCGGTTTTGGGGTCATGGTTTGGTACAGCAGGGACAACAACAAAAAAATGCACAAAACATTTGTCAATTATTTAAAAAAAAAGTAAACTTCATTTATTTATTTAGTACATAAACATCTTTTAATTAAGCAGATATGTTTCACATCCAAAAATGAAAACTTCAACAGTGGCTCATTGGCCTAGTTCTTACTGTAACACTTAATGCACTCAAATACTGCCATATTATCAGTAAGCAAAAGAAATAACACAAATGTTAGTTAGGGATGCTGCTTTTTATTCTAAATTAAAAATGTGTTCAATTGTGGTTCATTTTTAAAAGGTTTGGATTTCAAATGTAGCATCTATAAGCACAACAGACCGTTTGAAGTACTCTGCCTTATGATCCTGCAGAGGGCACTCAACTATCACCTATGGCATGCCCTGTTGACCTGTCAGTAAACTAAGCTGGTAATGTCATGTTGTTTACTACGAAAATGGAAGATACAAGCAAGGAAAGCATGGAGCGAAGCCATCCTGAGCAGCTTCTGTCGACTTCAGCTGTCTAACTCTACAATAACCACAAATCTGTACACTGTCTTGCTAACGTTAGCTTGGTACCGAAGTGAGGCAGCCGGCATCGTCTGACTGCTACTATTGAGAACACTTAGCTTCAGCAGGCCGCTCACCAGAGGCTTGTAAAAATGCCAACACCGATATGATAGCAAGATCTATAGGCTAGGATGTGCCGATATGCGGCCTATTGGTGTGGTAAGAGAGTATGTCTTATCCTTTAGTGTCTGTTGTGTGTCATTCAAAATTACTTTAAAGGTGATTTTTGGGATAAGTGACAGCCCTAATATCAGCAATGCTCCTTTGTAATACTTCTTTATACACAGAAGCACAACTGACTGACTGACATGCACATGTAAACTGACAGCCTAACTATGGTCGCATCTGTGATAGACACAGCTACAGCTGGTAGACACCTGGTGCAATGCCAAAACTTTCTCTAGAATGAGTAGTATACATTAATAGACTATTCTTTTCTTTTTTTAAAATAAACCTTTTTTATTGAATTTTTATTGAAAGTGCTTGTCAGTGACTGTGTGATGTTATAGTGCTGCAGCCTTTTATCAATAGTGTCAGCTGAAGAGTGACAGAGAGAGGGGATGACATGCAGCAAAGGGAAACAGGTCGGATTAAAACCCTGGCTGTTGCAACAAGGTCTCAGAGTTGGTACAAGTAGCCCCAGTTCTATCAGGTGTGATATCCGGGCGCCCCCATATGTCACGTATTACAGTGAACATAATAACCTCACTCTTCAGCTTAGTAAATACATTTAAAACAAAAGTTAGAACAACAAGTAAGAAAGAAAAAATGAGATCTTATTCAGGGATAACTGAGAAAGTAATTAAATGATGTCAATGGGCTTCATATGCCTGCATTAACAACAGTCTCAAATCCAGCCCGGCCTGTTTCAGAAGATATGGTAAAAAACTGGGAGAAACTTTGGGACAAAATTATTTTAATGGGATTTATATTACTATCTATAACTTTTAATTAACAGGTATGAAAAATTAAGCATAGCGTTAGTTCAGGCAGGCCACAAGTCAGGTTTGGCTCTCAATTCCAGCTATATCATGTGATCACAGCTAGTCGTAAACACACATCAGCTGATGGCTCAGCTGATTCCTCTGAAGCCTCCTATTGGAAAACCATACACAGTCAGCTGACAGCTCAGCTGATTCCCTCAAGCATCCAATTGGCAAATATCATTCATGGCACCTTATTTAAGCTGCTTTAGCCTGCCCATCTTTGCTGCTTCCTCTACAAGCTGTTTTGCAACCCACCTCAATCCCGGCTCCTCCTTTTTATATTGTATCTAATTAATCAATGTCATTTTCTGATTGCTATTGATGCTTGCTCTGTTCTGTACCCTGGGGGGTCTCTGCTGCCCCTCTCCTTGTCTTAAACCTTTACATGTAGGCACATGGAAGGGCAGGGAGGTGTGCTCTCCCTGCCTTAAGGCTAGGAGGTCCCAGAACAGAGCCATACCGCCAAATGTAATATTCTGCTGTGGAATAAAAGTTATTTGATAAAAGTGGTATTATTACAAAATAAATGACAATACATTTGCGTACCTATGTCACAATTACTGTAACATCACTTTTAATATGTTAAATCACTTTGGTTTGACAGAACAACCTCTTCAGATGTTTAGAGATTTCTTTCATTTTTAGTCCATAAATAATTGGATTGAAGAGAGGATGATACAAAAGTGCTTGTAAAGTCATTATTAAACGTGCAGATTTTGGAAAATCTGATCCCAGTCGAACTATAATGATATCATATGCACACAAACAGGAAAAGCTGATTAAAACCAACAGGTGGGGTAAACAGGTCTGTGCAGCTTTCTTTCTGACATTTCTACAACTTCGATAAGATATTACAAGTATCCTGGTGTATGTAAAAAGTATGAAGAGCAAAGGCAAAAGCCCAACGTCAATTATAGCAAAAACACCAAATATAGATATTGCTTTTGAAGTCACACAGTGGAGACTGTAAATTGAATTGTTACAAAAAATTCCTTTTAAAGTGAATTTACACAGTTCCATATCAGCACTCAGTAATGATGGTAATGCGGTCTGACAAGCAGGCACAAGCCAAGCTAAAGCCAGGAAAATACTCACTGTAGTTTTTGTCATGATAGTTGGATATTGCAGAGGTTTACATATAGACACATACCTGTCATAGGCCATGGCTGCCAACAGTAAGAACTCTGAGCCACTTAAGGAGTAAAATAGGAAAAATTGATAGAGACAGGCTGAATATGATATCATCTGTTTTTCGGATAAAAAGTCAATTAACAACTTTGGGTACATAGCAGTGCTGAAAACAACAGAATTCAGAAGCAAAGCTGCAATGAAAATGTACATAGGCTCATGGAGGTTGTTGTGCCTCCAGATAAGGCCCACAATGGTGAAACTACAGCAGATTATTAGAATATATACTGTAAGCATAACCAAAAAATAAAGATATCTGTATTTGCCCACTTCCACATGCCCATCAAGAGTTATATATGTTACATTAAGTTTATCATCCATTAATGTTGTCTAAAATAAATGTTCAGTTATAAACTAAAGTAAATGACATAACAAGCATAAATTAAAAATTAAAGAGAATTCTCACTTTCATGATCAGCATTTACTCTATACTGGAGTGTCTTATTAATTCAAAGGTACCTGCCTTTAAAATGTACTTGGTCTGTGTTCATCTAAAAAAATGAATTGTGAGAGTGTGGAAAGTTTTTGTTAGATGGCTTCACCCTCCAAGGATCTCATTAAACTTTCCTTCAAAATAGATTCTAATATGTAAAGAACTCACAGGATTGTTTGACTTCTTTTTCTTGTGTGTGTCCCATTGTACAACTGTACCACTGGGACTTCACACAGTTAGGATTGTTTAGCTGGCTCAGCCAAGCCGCTAAGTTGATGTTAAGTGATGTTATGATTCGGATAGTCTTACATGTGAGCTAACTCTTTTTAGGGTATTAGGTTATTTCTTGAATCAGATATACAGATATATAGTATGATCTTTCGTCGAGCTAGGATCAACAGTTGGCTGATATTTCAAAGTTCAAGTACAATATAATCAATATAATAATCAAGTGTGAACTTGAAACCACAGGCTCAAGTTGAAGAGTGTGTAGGGACTTGGCTTGGGAACCAAAGGGTTGCTGGTTCAAATCCCACAGACCACAATGTGGAGTATGGACTAGTTGCTGGAGAGGTGCCAGTTTCACCTCTTGTGCACTGCTGACGTGCCCTTGAGCAATTCAATTTTTATTGTATATCAGTGATATTGGCAAGTGTAGTCAAGCAGGACCATGGCAGGAGGCTCCGGCAGGAGGCTCCACCAGGATGCATGAGAACCTGCGAGACGAGAAAGCACAAGAACTCCAGGGAAGAAGTGAAGTTAATAACATGCATTAATGGGACATGAATGAGTGCAGAAAGAGAGAGAGAGGAAGAGAGGAGCTCAGTGCATCATGGGAAATCCCCCGATAGTCTAGGCCTATAGCAGCATAACTAAGGGATGGTTCAGGACTCACCTGATCCAGCCCTAACTATAAGCTTTATGAAAGAGGAATGTCTTAAGCCTACTCTTGAATGTGGTGAGGGTGTCTGCCTCCCGAACCACAACTGGAAGCTGGTTCCACAGGAGAGGAGCTTGGTAACTGAAGGCTCTGGCTCCTGTTCTACTTTTAGAGACTATAGGAACCACAAGTAGCCCAGCATTCAGAGAACGTAGTGTTCTAGAGGGGTAATAGGGTACTATGAGCTCTTTAAGATATGAAGGGGCCTGACCATGAAGAGCTTTATAGGTGAGGAGGAGGATTTTAAATTCTATTCTACATTTTACAGGGAGCCAGTGCAGAGAAGCTAGTACAGGAGAGATGTGATCTCTTTTTCTAGTTCCTAGAGTTCTAGATTTGTCTTTTAACTCCCACATAAAGCAGACCTCTAGGACTGCCTTCTTTCATTTACGTAATATTACAAAAATTAGACACATACTATCACAGACAGATGCAGAAAAACTAATCCATGCATTTGTTACTTCAAGGCTGGATTACTGCAACTCTTTATTATCAGGTTGCCCCAATAAGTCCATTAAAACGCTCCAATTAATTCAGAACGCTGCAGCACAAGTACTGACAGGAACTAGAAAAAGAGATCACATCTCTCCTGTACTAGCTACTCTGCATTGGCTCCCTATAAAATGTAGAATTGAATTTAAAATCCTCCTCCTCACCTACAAAGCTCTTCATGATCAGGCCCCTTCATATTTTAAAGAGCTCATAGTACCCTATTACCCCTCTAGAACACTACGTTCTCTAAATGCTGGGCTACTTATCGATCAAGGCTGATGAAATTAATAATTTATCTAAATTACAAGCATGTCTTTAGGACATAAAAACCTGGAGGAGCTGCAATTTGCTGATGTCAAACTCAGGCAAAACAGAAGTTTCTGTAACCCAAAAAGCTCTGAAACTCACTGTCTATAAGATTGATGGTAATACTATCTAGATAGTTACTCTAGGTGGCATTACTTTGGCCTCCAGCACTACCATCAGTGGAGTTATCTTTGATCAGGATATTTCCCACATAACTCCCACATAAAGCAAACCTCCATGACTACCTTCTTTTACTTATGTAACATTAAAGAAATCAGACATATCCTGTCAGAATCAGAATCAAAATCGGGTTTATTGCGAAGTAAGTTTTTACACGTACAAGGAATTTGCCTTGGTGCATAAAAATCACACAAAAATAAAGTACTTTTTAAAATATAAATAAATAAATAAAGGGAAAGATAAAGATAGAAATATCTAAACTGTATAGGAAATATATTTACAATGTACAGGATAGAAAAGTGCATTAATGTAATGCATATATACAGGGTGGGTGTAAGAGTCAGTGTCAGATAGATGCAGAAAAACTAATCTATGCATTTGTTACTTCTAGGCTGGATTACTGCAAATCCTTATTATCAGGCTGCCCCAATAAAGACGCTACAATTAATTCAGAATATTGCAGCACGAGTACTGACAGAAACAAATTATTAAAACATATATTGTACAAATAATCATAAAATAAACGTATCTGTATTTTTCAACTTCTACGTACCCACTTAGAGTTATATATAGATAGATAGATAGATAGATAGATAGATAGATAGATAGATAGATAGATATACTTTATTGATCCCAAGCTGGGAAATTGCAGTGTAGCAGCAGCATTGCACACAGTAACGACACAATGAAGTAAAGAGAACAACCTAGACATATCAAAAAAGCAATATAAAATGCAATATAAAAAAATGTATAAAATGTATAAATAAGCAGTATAATTGAAGTGCAAAGTAAAAATATAAGGTGCTTGGAGACTGTATTGTTATGACCAGAGTTTTAGCTGTTATTGTACAGTGGCAGGAAAATTTTCCTGTATCTGTCCCTTCAACAACGGAGCTGGAGCAGCCTGTGAGAGAAGGTGCTCCATTGTCTGACCACTGTGGGATGGAGGGTGCTGATCATTGTCTATGATGGATAACAGTTTATTCAGCGTTCTCCTCTCCGCCACAGACTCTGTGGCTACAAGCTGTCGCCTGAGGCAGCGCCAAGAGTTTTGTAAATGTTACATTTACTTCTTAGTCCGTTAAGATTGTCAAAAATAAGCATCAATCCATTAAACAGGCAAGTAACATTTCTGCCATACATACTATATATATATACGTCTCACATTGAAAATTGATTTATAATCAGTGTTTGAATGCGTTATTCATTCAGTTACCTGACTTTAAAATGCAGTTAGTAAATATTCATCTCTAAAGTTCAGAAAGTGCACAGTTTGAGTTTGTGTTTTTATCAGATTGCTTCACCCTCCATGGATCTCATTAACCTCTTCACCAAAAGACACAATTAGATGTGACCAACTTTGTCAAACTTTGCCCTGGAACCAAAACTTTTGTTTCACCTGTGATTTTGGGCATCTTAATTTTACAGTCCAGATAAAATTAAACATACCTTTTTAACAGTCTAAGATTAGATCCCCAGTAATATTGTACCCATATTTTACAACACAAATGTGATGTGTGATTATGTAAGTTATCTATTAAGTTAACTTTTTTTAGTGGTGGATCAATCCATATTTGGTGCTCTAGTGAGTATTTTGGGCAGCCGCACGGTGTATGTGGGATTGAGTCAAAATAAACAACAGTGTGTGTTTGTGGTAATGAAGGAACATGTCACCCAGTGCAACAGTGTGGATCACTGATGTGTTTTTAATAGTTTTTTGGACAAGAATGCATCCATGCAAGGCAACTAGAGAATTTTACAAGTAGACTGCTTGTAATTCAATGCCATTCATCCACGTGGTTAGTTTCACTTGAGTAAATTAACTAGCTAGTCAGTTAATATAATTTGTGGACTGATGAACTGTAAGAAAAAGTATGTGTAAAGGGTCAGACCAACTACTGTAGGCTTATATTTATTATGTATACTCAGTATCTTTGGCAGAATTAAAATAAATTCCACAGGATGGATAATCTATTTTATCTTCCAGTTTGCTCATGTGTCCTTCTTTGTGCTGTAGTCTGCTTCAACACTTTGTCTGCCACATTTTGCTTTAGATTTTTTGATTGATTTATATCTACTTTCCTCTCCCGAGCAGAAGTGCAAATTCCAAATGTGATTTCTTAAAAAAAGTGGGAACACTGAAGAGCTGATAATGTGAACAGTAGTGACCCATAACTTATGCATTCTTATAGAAGGTCAAAGAGGTCATAAAGGTAACAGGAAGTGCACCCTAAAAGTGATGTAAGATTCAGCTGATGTAAGGATACTGTAATGAGTGTCATTAGTGTCCTCTACTCTGACCTCCCATGTGTGCCACCTCCACTGTGCTGAACAACAGGCCAGGCTCAGGGGACAGGTCTGACTGCAGCCAGTCTGCAAACAGCTAATTATGACCCTGCAGAGATCCCAGTTTGCTGCCTCAGGGGACATCCTGCTGAGGAAATACCTTTTTACCTCTGTGATCAGAAACAAGTGTCCAAATGATCTAACATCTGTATTATTACAAACACCAAAACACTAACTGTTTGTGTAATACGTTGCAAAGTGAAGTCATTATCACAATAATTATTAGAGGTGATCAACAGGCTCTTTTATCCTCAGAGCAAATAAACATGTTAACACAACTCCAAACTGTTAACACCAACAAACCTTCAGACAGTACACTTTAACAACAGCAAAATAATATATAATAATGTAATACAATATAATAATCAGTGCTGAAGGAAGTACTCAGATCCTTTACTTAATTAAAAGTAGTAATACCGCACTGAGAATACTCCACTACAAGTTAAAGTCCCTTCGAATCTAGGGGTGTAAGAGAATTAAAAAAAATATTGTATCAATTCTCAAAAACATTTAAACAATTTTTGGTTTTAATCCTCTGACTGCTAGATAGCAGTGCCGTAATGTTGACTGAGGGCTATGATGCTGGATATTACAGGGAATAATAAATAAAAATGCATTTTTACCTGGCCACCACTTACAAGGCCACCAAGCATTGTAAAGTTCCTTGAGTGGTCGGTGGACCAGAAAGTCTCATGCAAGGATCCTCGGGCACTGGTCTCTAATTGTGATTGCCACAAGCAGTTCTGTAGATGCATGACATAGGTCAGGGCTGTAGCTACAGGGCATAGGTCACTGCTGTAGATACCCGGCAGAGCTCTG